CCAGTGTGATGTTCTAGGGAAATGAAAAAACGTCATATTTACAACAATGTCACATAGATCCTTCTGCATGAAAGTTCACCAAAAATGTCTCCTTAGCTCCCAGAATGTAGTTTGAAAAATAGGATTAGGCACATAGTAGTGATAGGGTCACATAACGATAAAAAACCACGGCAGCTCACTTATAATTGATAGAACCTATGTCTCCCAGCAGCGAAGCCGTCACATTCAGCATCTTCTGCTTCTAGTAAAGTTCTACCAAGCGAGATCAATAGAACCATGATACAAATAAACCGATCAGCACAATAGAAGGCATTTTGACAGCTGTTAACTAAATATGTGATCACAGCAATTAAAAGCTTTTTGGACAGGAAATATATCCCCCCATCCAGCCTGGTTACTGGAAGAAATTCCAGGCTCCCAACAGGCAAACAAGCAAAATTGACAAATCAAATAACGGACACTTAGGCGCATTTAATGCTTCGGAATAATAAAAACCTCAAAATGGATAAGCTAAGACATCTGAAATAAAATACACTAGAATACACTCATTGATACAAAACGATCGACAGATACCATCAAGTTTTTTCCGCTTAACATGGGGGGTCAGGTTAATTAGGGGATATAAAATATGATATACTTCGAATTTGCTTCCAAATCTCAAATGTGGATAAGAAAGCAAAGTTTAACCCTGAGTACCACATTAGGTCGAAGTGTAAATTTTCGAAGGACTTAAACAATTCCACATCAAATAATTTCGGCAAACTTTATGTTTATGGTTCTTTATAAAATTGAGTGTTCAAAAGCTTTATATGATAAAATTAATCCTGTATCAGAAAAGTTACAATGAAGTTGCACCTACTGTTCGTTACCACGCCCAAATTTTTATTCAATTGCGAATGCTAAATGGGCGAAACCAACAACTGTTATGATGTGTCAAGCCGTCAAATTGTTGGTTTAAGTAAAAAATTGGGCAGGGATAGAATACTTTACGCCATACATGTGATGCCTTCATGACCACGCAAACTTTTCTCTCCCTCGCATCCATTCCTTCCACTAACATCATATCGTAACTTTCGGAAATTATTCAGATGATAATACTACATATCTGTGACTATCGGTCATGAAAACGCACAGAAGTATGCAATAATTCAGTCTTGATGGGCTGTGCCAGTCAAGGGAAATCGAGCATGAAATGAGTAAATTAACGCATTGGCAAAGGTTCAAACATTTGCAACAGCGCAAAGATTTTGAACGGATTTTGGCTTTGCGCCTTTGTTTATAGAGTGCATTCTTCAATTTTTACAAATATAACTGTTTTGATATGACCAGTTTCGAGGATGCTAAGTTTGATTAATGGGAAACAAATATACTGCCAGCTAGTGACTTACCGTACAGAGGCCACCCTATCGTGTTTTGCCATTTTATACCTCACTTTTCGAAAACCTCTGCTGTTAGATTAGTCCGACTGCTGTTTTTAGATGAAATTTCGTCCTTTCAGTGATGCGGACTCGCGTTAGATCATCACGAGTGGCAGATAATGTAATATGCGTATATGCAGACACACTTGTGGGGATCTACGAAATGTGCCTACTTCGGAATGGGGCTGCACGAAGGTCATGCATGCCTATGCATGCGTGCGTGCATGCGTGTGTCCCTATGTGCGTATGTGCCTGCATGCACGTGCGGCCATGCTTTCGATCGTTGCTCAGGCCTTGCCCATTGGTGAATGAAAGGCCACGTCATTGAAACCCACCAATTAGCGTCTGCACCGGTTAGTTTCTAGCCCCTCCGCAAACATGTGCTGGGGCCATTTTAGTTATAGAAATGGGATTTCTCTTGTTTTGGGTCATCGGTATGATTAACTGGGTCCCACCACCCACGTTATCCCCAAACAGCAGGATAGCAATTGGTGTCACTGCTTCTGCTACGACTACATCAGAGCCCTGATTGGGCTATAGGATTGTGCATTGCAAAATGTTGTAGCGAAGTTACTTATATCTACTGCACATATGCGTGGATGATGGCTTAGATCAGAAGTAGCCGCCCTGAAGAAATGTTGAGAGACTTACAAATACAATTTCGGTAAGAATCATACTGCTTGTCTTTGGAAAGGTAACAGTTCTGAAAAAGCCAAAAATCCTGAACTGCTCCAATTGACAGGCTAACAGCACTTGTATTACCACCTTTCTCAAGTTGAGATATGTCTATTGTAACGCTAAAAAGTTATCGTCGCTGTTTAATTTTTAGCAGATCATCATGCAGAAACGCTCCCCTTTTGCGTCCCAAATGTGGAAGCTTGAAATGGGTTTGGTCTCGCTGATTTTGCTAGAAGTGGCTATGTGTGGGGCCGAAATTTAGCAGTGTCTCTGTACAGCAATAAATAATGCTGTTTAGCAGATCCCATTGAAATAATTCTGGAACTAAAGCAGCTTCTCAAATGGCAATTAGATTGAAATTATCTTCTTGAATGCGACAAGCTACAGTCCAGCAAAAGTCATTCATTCTTTGGTCATTGCAAACGGAATGCTTTTTTGTACATACGCATAGCAAAATGAAATACAAAGGAAAATTTCAGAGGGAGAAGGAGAAGGAGGAGGAAGATCTAGTACAATTCCATGGCAAAGGGAGACGAGGGGGAATAGTGGTTACTGAGAAGGAGGTAGATCTTCCCATTCAGTGGAGTGAGGTTGGCGGCTATGTCTGCAAAGGATGACTAGCTAAAATGAAAAGTATTTAAAATTAACAAACCCAATTCGACGCAGAAAATGCTACTTAAAGCGGTAAGTAGAGTGAATTATTCACCAACTGGAGAGGGGACTTACCAAAGTAGGTCACTGAAGGTCTGTATTCACAGACACTGTCCTACAGATATAAAACCCACCATCAGTAAAAAGTAATGCTTAGGTTGGGTTAGCTCCTTCATGATGATGTTATTGTCCCCAACCCTTATCCATCTTCTATTTGTCGATGTTGAATGCCGTTTGGTCTGTTAAGTCCTTGCAAGGACCACTTAGAGGGCAACAGAGGAAGCAGGCTTAAATTAACTCAATTAAAATGATGTAAGCTGGTTGCAAAAGAGGAACGACCAATATGGTGTTTGACAAAAATTCATTAAAACCTTACACCTTTCTACTGCGCTTCAGCCTCAAAATCGACTTTAATCTTTTGAACAACTCGAGAGAAGGATGCTTGGAGGGGAAGAAGGGCAATAAAATAAAAGGACATTTATGAAATGGTGCACTTAAAATGGAGTGAACTTTAAGGTTCCACCATTATCTTGGTTTTACGGGATCTCGTTCATGATTACAGCCATTCGGTCATTTTGTGGTTTGATGATAAACCTCCTGTCAAACTTTATTGCATGCTTCGAGATAACATGAAGCATCGCTGCCAAGCAAAACTCCATTAAAGCAGTTAAAAACTTCTGCTGGATGGTATAGGCAGAGGAAATTCTCCACATAGACACACAATTTGAAGCTGAGTGAATTTCACTGTCCAATTGTTGGAAGCGAAAAGAGGATTCGATAGGAAATTTGGAAGTGGTGCGTTCTCCTACCCTCCATCGAGTCGTCATACTACACAACTCGCCTCTCGAAAAACACAAACCACAAGAACACTGGCAATATGCCCCGCAGGCATTACACCCAAATCATTGTCTCCCCTCTTATCTCTCTCGGTGGAAGGTGTTGCAGAAGAAGATCTTCGTGTTACACCTTTTACAGTCCTTCTGTTCACAGCAGTCCAATCTACTCCATTTACCTTCTGCCAAGAGGAAAATTCATGTCTTCCTTTATTTCTTCAAAAACTTTCCCCATAGAGACATCAGCCCAACAAAGTAGGCTGCACAAAAGTCAACAAGATTTACATTTCTTGCCTCAGGGGAGGACAGAATGTAACACACAAAGAGACAATTTAGCCATACACGAAAAAAAAAAAAAAAGAAATACGAAAGAACGTTGCTTTTAAGTATCCATTCAGCTGGAAAGATCTAATCTACCCCTCCCTACCAAAGCCTCTCAGTGGTGAAGGGGATACGAGTGATGGGGACAGTAAACCCCGCGCACGCAATCCTCCTCCTCCTCCTCCTCCTCTTCCCTCCCCCCCCCCTCCTCATTGAAGCCCACTCGCTCCTCTACATTTCCCCCACTCCCTCACCTATCACCGTATCAATCGCATATAATAACCTGTGGCAATGAACTTCAAAAGATGGTGATAAAATAGTCACGCACACACACACACCTCAATTGACACACAAAAAAGTTATTCAATTTTTCTCTCACAAGCATACACATTGCCTTTTCCTTCCAAAGCGATGCCTTCACCAACCTGAAAGACGTGTTGTGCTAAGACATGTTGGTAAGTGGCCCGTAGGACCTATGACCTCCACCTCTTCATGTTGGTGAGTGTCAGGCAAGATCTAAAGGCTCCCTCACAGAGGCCAAGAAAATGCTGTTAGACCTCCCCTGAGAATCAGTGCAATAGACAACAACCTACTCCATCAAAAAGACCAAATCTGAAAGCGCGGTTAAGGCCACATGTACACATCCAACGTCCACTGAATAAGTTGTGGATGCCACAAGGCAAATGCCTCCAACTCACATGCATTAGCATGCAGGCTATAAAAAAGGCGTTGTACGTTTTTTATCGCTTATAGATTAATTGCCAGACACAGTGGCGATGAGGTATGGGGTTTGGGTTAGTCTCTCACCGTCTGTTTTGCTAACAAACATATCATTGGTTAACTTTCAAACACTTGTGCACCACTTTGGACCTCCTTTTATGTGATACTGCCAAAAAGTTGTCGAAGAAAGTAAATATGTGCGGGTGTATAACATGCTGGCTGGATGCAGAGTCATTTATCAGCGTTTATTTGTCTACAGGAGGTGCAAAAAAAAACCCTTCGACAAACGCCATCTAATGAGCCTTCAACACGAAATACGCGCTACTGCCAAATGCCTTTCAGTTTGTTTGTTGTGATCAAAGAGGCAGTGCATGTTTTGTTAGGCGGAGGCGGAGATGGAGGCAGAGAAGGTGGGTTCTCTTACCGAATTGGCGAATCGAATGTTTGTCCGCACTGAACGATTGTTGAGGGGATTGACTGGTCGAAAATTGTCAGCCATCGAGGTAGACCACAGCGTTTTGTCGGTTCGCAGTTGCCGAAGTACCTTCATCTACCGCCATACAAGAGCAGAGAGTGGTCAAATTAAAGCCAGCACTTTTGAGCGAACGCTACTTAAATAAAATATAAGTAGCATATGATAATAAGTAAACACAATGTTACATTTTTTATGTTTTTACTTTTGATAATTAAGCCATTTTTTACCATCGGTTAGGAATGATGGTGATAATGCTTCGAGGAGGATTTTTCCCATCCTTCTTCGATGCAATAGGAGCAAAGAGGGGAAAATCCCTTCGATGCAAACTCAAAAAGCACTGAAGACCAATTTTATCAAACAAATGATTTTGTGGCCTTTGATGAAATCTGCGTACCTCTTTTAGGGAGATTTGAATGGATCGGTTGAGAATAATCCAGGTCACGGTTTCAGCACAACTTGGAAATGGCAAGGACCCCTCGTACGTCATATACTCATCAATAGCTGGAAAGAGGGCCTGCAGTTCGATGCCTTTCAGATGAAATTTATTGCCTAAATAGTAGAATTAGTAAAAGAGAAGGCTAAAAAGTGATGCATAGGTGGAACTCAGTCTTTCCTTCCTTCTTAAACAGGCAATACTTTATATGCGAAGGTCAATTCATCTTCTATTTACACAACCTTGCTTAGCCGTATGTATCCAAATTACTTGTTCTATAACGATGTACCATTTAAACAATGACTTCATTCATTTCACAAAATATTTAACTTAAAGTAAGCGGTAAGGTAGGTTGATTTCTACCACCGATGAAGAGACTGCACACCAGAATGTGTACATTTTAGGTCAGAGTGGAAAATGGGGTAAAAAGACTCTTCATTTTTACCCATTCCTAAGAAAGTTAATCCCAATAAAGTCCGCCATTATCATCCTAAGGTGCTGGAAGAGGGAAAATGAGAAGACACTTTCTGCTCGTTGTCACATAGGTGGTACAGAAAATCCAAACGTGGTAAATACGACCATGATGTATGAGGAGAGGGTTGGAAAAAACCTTCTATTTTCACAATATTTGAGTTTAGAGACGCTTGGAGGTGGTCAAGTTGTGAGGGAAAAAGATGTTGTAGAAAAGGGGGTGAGGAAATTGCCCTTATGTTAATTCCACCAATCAGAATGTCGCATTGCGGGGTCACCTTTCAGTGCCCAGTCGATGGCACTGCTGAACCGCGTGGGGTGACTATTGCCTTCCATTTGAAGTTTTTTTTTTCATTTTTCATTCTCAATAGCAAAAATATCTTCGGGGGAATGTGAAAGGTGTCGTACTGTTTTGTGCCTCAGGGGTGCGATAAGTGGGTTAGGCAGTAAACTGTACCTTCACTTCATTCAAAAATGAATTATTTTTTTTGAGCCTCTCCATGCTTTAAAATTACAAGTAAAGAAGCAAGAAAACTCCACACCATTGTCTCGTCATGGTGTTAACTTAAAAGGCCAAAATAGGACAGTAAGTGGGGGATTTTCATGACTCTAAACCAATGCTTGCCTCCACCTCTCCCCAGAGGGGCGGGCGGAGACACCTCTCGCATTGATAGTGCGTAAATGCCTGTTGGTGGTGATAAAATCACAGTCACTGTCACAAAACGATGCAATGCCAATTCTGATTACCCCATTTCGGAGTCTCGGTGTCTCCTCCGTGTTTCAGGCCTCAGATAGTATCAGGAAGAAGAGGAGGAGGAGGAGGAGGAGGAGAAGGAGGAGGAGGCGGGGAAGTTGAGGGGCTTGACAGAGGCATGAAATATAAAACCAGCCACTAACTTGCCAGCTCAATCATTTCTCCATATTTACCTCTTTCATTTTCCTATTTTCAAAAATGTCAAAATACAATGCGGCTTACTTATTTGCGGGACATTTGATTGTAACGACAATAAAACTTTTCCATGTCGCAGTGAAAAGGGAGGGAAGGTGGGTCTAACAAGTACACCAAAATCAAATTTTAGATTCAAACCTACTCACCTACCAAACTGGAGCAAAAAAATTATTAAATCCTTTTTATTTAAACTCCACTCTTATGATAAAATGACAAAAAATAACAAATTTATTAGTTGCCATGGTAACCGAAAGAGGCAGGAAATTGGGTTTGAAGGTCAGTGTAGAAAGCAGTTGACTGGAGATTGAGGGATGAAGTCGCTCTCCCATTACTTTTCTCCAGCCTCCAACCCTGAAAGCGGTGTTTCAACCACTTGCTGTGAGAGTGTGTGTGTGTGTGTAAGAGAGAGAGAGAGAGAGAGAGAGGAAGAGAGAGAAGGAGAGGTTATGTCTTCTAAATTACAAGCCACATTTTATTGCCACTCTTGGTCTATGTCTACAGAAAAGTGTGTTTATTGCGCTCTACACGCCGTACATTAGGCATGACAGTTGAAATAATGAAGCCCCGCGAGTCGGCACTAACCAGATGACGGTATTAGCAAAACTCGAGGCGAGAGGATTCCTTCTCGCCTAGGGTTGGCCCACTTTACTCATCTTATTGGATTAATTTGGCGGTGAAAATGAAAATTTGTTGAAAAAAGGCAATGGTGATGATATGCATCATAACTTGGAGGTGGTGAAGACCTCTTAACCGCAAGTCAAACGTGGACAGAAAGATTTATTAGTAGTTTGCCCAAAATTGAGGAAAATTGTTACCATTCGCCAATCTTCAAAAAAAGTTTCAATTAATCAAATGGATTTTGTCCCACAAAGAATGACACACGCCGGCAAAAATTAAATCAGAGGAAAAGAAACACCAAAAAGAGAGGAGTTTTGCTGCAAAACTGGGGACGCACCGGAGAGAATGAAATGAGGGAAGAAGTTGTGTCAGCATCCTCATTACCATCACCACCCACAACGACAACAAGATCAAGGAATGGAATGCGAAACTTGGAAACATTAATTGTTTAAAGCTTTGAACGTGTAATCAACTCCACTTTAGCAGGGGGCGCCATGATTTTGGGGAAAATTCACTGGACCGAAAGATTAAAATTGCCGCAGAGTCCACTGCCCAAGGTCAATTTAAAGGGCTCGTTGAAAACACCTCTTTTGCGACCATTCGTGCAAGAACAATGAAATAAAAGCTGTTGTTGAGTACTAAATGAGAACCTAGATCCGCCCTTAAGTTAAGACGCTAAGATGCAAAGAGGACCTACTGAGGTCTGAAGACGCTTTGGTGAACAATGAAAACTCATATTTTCACAAATATTCTTTAAGATGTTGAAAAATTCCCTTATTTCTGTCGGCTTAAAAAGCGAATGTCTTTAGCATGCTACGCGAGGTGAGACAAAAGGGAATGAATAAATAGCGTCTATATTTCACATACGAAGCAATAGCCTGCGTACCTGTTCCGTCTGCTACGAGTGGAAGGCAACAAAATATCACATCTACTAATAAGCGTTTATGATTGTAATTTATGATTATTAGGTGGGAAATTTCTATTCCTCCTTATTAGGGGGAATTTATAACAATAGATGACCGCCATGCGCCACTTTATGCAAAACATTTCCTTTAACTGTAACAATAATGGTTCATATTTAAATAATTGCTTCTATTATAATTCCGCGGTAAAAAATTGCGAACTTTTTTTGCAAACCAAGACCTACTACTGAATTAAATGTTTATATGAACTTCAATTTTGTTTTACTGGGCAAAATGCGAGCGCACTCTTCTAGAGGATCTGTTAATTGCATAAATCAGTTTTTTTCATTCTCTCATAAACCACTAGCTGCTGTCATGATACTTTCTTGTCTGTTAAACAGTACTATAAATTGAATAAGTAAATTTGACGTTTTCTAAGATATAGTATGGATTAACCCACCCAAAAACTGCGTTTTTTCTGCTGCCATAACAATTCCCATTAGGTCCTTATTTGTTTCGGTTGACATCTGTGAAGACACAAGAAGGAAGAGAAGACGCGGTTATCTGATTAAATGCATTCAAATTGACATAAAACTGTTTGAATAAAGCAAGATGTCTCTCTACCGAGTCAGTTTGGCTTTTTTGCTGAGTAGTTCGACTTTGTCTGCTTTTTTCCCCTAATAAATCGAACTTCTGCTCCAACTCTCATTTGTTTTATCTATTGGCAACCACTCGAGTGAATACAATGAAGCAATTAAAGTTCAATTAGTGGAAGAAGAGACGAGGATAGGCGCATCTTGATAAGCCCTTGTAACTTTCAGGCTCTAGAAGGCCATGGTGTAATTTGGTCCAACGTTTAGGACTGGCATTAACAGTAAAAGTTGCCGAATTTACTGTCTATTAGGCTTTGTTATGTACTTGCTAACAAACAGCAGTGTTCAAACTTCGTCGCCGAGGTAACAGGCTGCAACCTAGCCAGCAGCTACGTACACGTGTTTATGAGTTTTGGAAGCTGTACTTTGTGCATGGCATTTGTCATTAATCATGCAAAAAATTGGTGATTTAACACACAACGGAACTGTTGGGTGTATGAACGCTTCTATAGTGTAAAGAGTGAAATGTTTTGCAGGCAGCGTTCAAAAAGACTGCATCTATCCCAGTCCCTTTAAGCGCATGTCATGAGGTCCTCACATGTCACACTCTGTCATTGTGGGTATACATCACTAGTGGTAAGAAAACTGGGACAAAAAGAAGGCAAAATTTTTTTGCGGTTTCATGTATGACAGGAGGCATACCTGAAGCATGCTGGAGAAGGCTGCAACACCATTGGGTCTATCAACAGCATCCGCGAAGCTTTGGTACAAATCGCTGTTATAGGCATACAGCTGAAGCTAAAATACCGACAAAAAGGAAATGAAAGCTCATTTGGGCGTTTTACTTTGTGTCTGAATTTGCATTAGCTTCAAAGGTGGTCATAAAGGTCAAGACAAGTCATAAGTAAAAGGGCAGACCTCGCCAGGGTAGGCGAAGGAGTTGACTCGATGCTCTGAGCCACGATCAGATGAGGAGCCAAATTTCAGTCGCATTTCACTCAACCGGTATGTGTATGACAGCGGTCCTCCCGAAAACGTGATGACACCAAATATTACTGCAAAGAGCAGATCATGGCCAGCATTTTCTACTGAAATTGTGAGCTACACAATAAGGAAAGACGTTTTTAAGGGCCTGATTATTTGGTAGGAAAACGAAGAAGAGTTTCCGTCTCAGCCTATTTTTCAGGTTAGTTGAGGTTGAGACGACCAGACGGATGTTAAAACTTTTTAAAAGTAAGAACATGCATATATCGTATCAATCTTTTATTACAAAAATTTTTTTGTAAAACAAACTTCTCTGTGTCTTGGTAGTGGGTGTTTCACCCAAACTCTGGTAACAAAAGCGTTAAATCAACTTCATTTGGAACCCTAGGGATTTACAAATCAATTGCATTCAGAGGCCAAATTGGATGTAACTTTTTCCTCCAGTTGAGCGCCTTCTTTCAAATAGTTGCATTTTAAATGGACAGATTAATATCGCACCCACTTTCACCAAATAAAATACAGATCCACAAAAACGGAGGGAACAAAGTTACATCGGTAGGTCTACTAAAAGTTTGTAGTGTATAAGAGGATTTTAACGAGATTACTTCGGAATAGTGTTAAAAGGCAACAGTTTTTATCTTGTAAAAAATGGATAGATCTCCAACCTTTTATGGCTTACTCATTGATTGCGACAAAATTAGCAGAATGTAAGCGACATTAGCAAGAAGAGAAAAAAAGCACATTTGTCTGAATGACTTAGACGCATAATTAAGAAAAGGTAATTTTTTGGGTTTTGCGAAATCGGCCACAAAGATAATAGGTGGGAACGCTAAATCTGCTTTAGCCATCCTCTATTGGAGCAAGAAATATTTATGCACATCTTAACACGCGCAGACTCTAAGTGCCGAGGCAAAAGAAGAAGGTTAAACCTAAAGACGCGGAAGTACTCGATGAACGAATAAATTTTGTCACGTAGAGTAAAGGAAGAATCATATTATCACAACTAAATTCTTGAATGAGCGAGAAAGCATGGGCATTAGAAGCTATCGCATTGCCGCGCTACAATATTACCTATCTAGCCTCTTGGACATAACTCTTAGGGCAAATGAGTTAATGCATCATTCTGGTAAATGCATTCCAAATTTTATAACAAAACACAGCTTCATTTTCTCGCGTCTTAAAGAGCTATTTTAGCTGATTCACCCGACTAAATAAGAACCTAAGAAAGCGTTTGAAAAACCGCTATACTCTGCCACCGAGGTCAAAGGAAATCAACAAAATTCTATCCTCAAGGTTTGTGTGCTTTGAAAATGAACAAAGCAAGTTAAATAATATTTAATGCATCGATGAAAACCTATTAAGAAAAATTGTGGCAGTTACTATTGACTAAATATAATTATGGGAAAAATATCTTTAATCGTAATATTCTTTGTGTTTAAGATAAACGCGTTTTTGGAACACTTGCCATGAATTCAAAAAAGAAAGTCCGATTTTCTTAATTCATCCATTTGCGAAGCGTTTGCAGACTCTCCTCCCATTTTTCAATCAGACATTAAAGTTAACTTCTCAAAAAATTAGAGTTTTTTCCCAATCTCTTTTTTTAACTCAGACATGCGTTATAAATCTACTGACGCTTCTATAAAGTGTGCACGTGAATTTGTAGTGCGGACGTGTGCGTGTGTGTGCAAAGTTGACATGCTTAGCGGTTTAGCCAATTAAAAATTTAAATACTTTCTCTACCCGAAAATCTAAGACGGAAGTTGGCCACCGTCGGGCTGACTTTTTATAGTCTTTAAAATGACACTGCTTGTCATCAATTGCTTTGACCTGTAAACTCATAATCCCTCCTCTGATTCGGGAAAAAAAAGGCAGAGGGATTAGTGCTTCAACTGTGGATACTTTAAAGTGTCGAAATATAAGGACCACGTTCAGCGTAAATTTGACGGCTAACACAGGTAAGGCCCAAATCAGCCTTTACCGTGTATGAAGACTGAAAGGCTGCACCTCCCTCCGAGCAGTGCTTCTTGGCAATGCGGTGTTTTGAGGAAATAAAACCCCTGAGGTAATATATGGAAGCTGTCTAAGTCCATTCATAGGCAAATAATGCGAACCTATGAAGATTCATTGATTCACACCCAACGGCGGCAGCAATAACGGATAAGGAAGGAGATGACTACGGTTTTTCAAAGACCCGTTACACTGGCGCGCTTTCGGATCTGCGCGGACTAGATGTTATCGCTTTTAAATCTACCTCACAAGATCCACTAATTCACTGGTGTGCCTGAACTCCCGAAATAGTTAGAGCTTGAAACACTGGCCATAAAGTAGATTAGCATCACGATCAATGTTGGTAGGTTAAAGACTGTTGAGAGTGCCCTCCGAAAAAGTGGAGCTAAGAGGTGCGGATAAGGAGATACAATAAATGAAAACGCTTTTTCCCCCTCCTTGAGTTACGTAGAAGAAGCCTCGGCTTACTTATCCTATTTTCGAGTCCACTTCTTGGAAATGAGATGTTTGTTTTCGATGAAGTATCATTTATGTGGTGTTAGGCAGAAAAAAAAACAACTAACAACAGCACTTAGACTAAAAATTTAATGGAAGGAGGGCTTGTGCGTTAGTTGGTCAAAACAAAACCCCACCACAACTGACTACTGATGTCAAAAAAAATTATTATTATTATTTAAATTTTTTGCCATGCAGGCGAAAGGGGCTGAAATTTTTGATCGGACGCACAAGTAAGTAAAGAGTCGTCAACTCGACAACGCGGCTAGGGGATCGGCTCAGGAGCCGGCAAAGTACAAACAAGACATAAAGGGTCTGGCATGGCAACATTTGCTAGCCTATCGCCAAGCAAAACCGGCTGGTGTGATTTTCTGGTGAAGTCACGGACCGATTACAGCCTCGTCACGAGCATTTTCGAGGTGTAGGAGACGCGACACCTGCCTCCTTCAAATTGGCCAGGTCGTAAATTATAATGGCAGTGAAAATAGCATCAAGTCTTAGAAGTTTCGATGAATTTTGCCGCTGTCATTTAGTCACTCGAGTCAAAAATAGCTCACCAAAGGCTTGGTGAAGGAAAAAGCACGCCTTTCTTTTGGGCTCGTTTGCAGTTGCACCACTTCAATCGGTGTAAACGGTGACAGGAGGACCTGCACATCTTTCTGCCGCGATTAACTAATTGTCGCCTTTTTAGCTTTTGGCCAGATGATAAGACGAAAATTCCGAGGAGACCCGAAATACTCTCCGGTTTGCTGCCCAAATGGTTGTTTGATGTTATCTCATTTTACTGGTTGGTTTACAAGTTACTTAATCAGAAGAGTGTAGTTTAAATGGAAAGAAAACTCTAAGGATATTAGAATTTCCGATTTAATCAATAGCGTGACCTAAAATGAACAAACACCTGCATATACTACTAATTGACTTTAAGAGCGACCAAGTTGGAAGTCAACTGACTTTTAATTTTATTGATGATGCTGTGTTTTTTGAATTGCTTTTACTAGAAAAAAAGCACTGTAAAACATTGGTAAAAAATTGTACTCCAACAACTTGGTGGCATAAAGATGGGCATAAATGTCGAATTGTAGGACCGTACCTGTTGATCCGCACCGTGTAGTTTGACTGGATGCAAGGACAAGTCAAAGATGAGAGCGTCAGTGACAATGTCAATGGGAGATTGACGCTTGCCGTGTTTGCAGGTAGTTAAATCCTCAGTTCGCATCAATGGCCTGTCTGTTGCCTCGGTAAGTCCAGCGATCACAAGCAGTAGGGTGGCTGTGTAGGGGTTTTAAAACAGGGTGAATTGTGGAGAGGGCTAGAGGAGGAGAGTAGAGGAGAGGAGAGGGGAAAGGGGAGGGGAGGGGAGGGAAGAAGCAGAGGGCAATCAAAGTTGGTCCGCTGTTTTCGGACTACTTCTAAAGCTGAAGTACATTTTTCACTGGATCATGCAAAATCAGAGGAGTAAACAAGTTGTGATCACAAAAAAATCCGCAGCTTTGTTTTGGCAACACTACACAGAACTTTGGTGGTTCATATATGACCTGAACAACTTCACCAATTTACTTTTAGCAGTAATAACGTGAAGAAATTTTGAAGGTTTTAGTTTTCAATTGGTCACTAAAAAGGGGCGACCATCATTTTGGAATCTAGACCCACCTGCAGATCGCTTTACACTTTAGCTGATCAAAACAGGACAAAAAAGGAAACTCGTTTACTTGCCTTGTGAAATATTCATTGTAATCCAAGTGAATCACCAAGAAATGACATATGTCGCAGGTTGACACAGAAAACGCATTCAAAAAACCATCTTTTGCAAGGCATTTTGACTTCACTGCTTTAAATACACCTGAAAATTATCAATTTCCCATTTTTTTGAGTATTTTCAAAGCAAATGCTAGGTGGTAAAGGGAATGAATCTATAGAGGCGAAAAAAGGGATCTCTCAATCCTAAATGAGTAGTTTGCGGATCATGCCTGAGGCTTCTCGCTCGCTCGTACCCACATTTTCCAAAGGCCGTTTTGTTCAGATCACCGGGAGAAGAGTGATTTCACATTTATAGAGAAGCAGACTTAAAAATAGTTCTATGGGCAAGAGGTAAATGCGCCTTTATAAGGTGAGAGTGGCCAAAGTCATGCATCTCCGAGGTCCCCCCTTACTGACAGTCATTTTCTACATTCGGCAGTGATTATGTCATGGCTCAGCGGGTGAATACATTGGCAGATATCATCTTTAGCAAAGCCATTAACAAGGATTTTCACAGGATTGATTGTTATCTTGATTTATTTCTCTGAAATGGCAAAAAATTCTAATTAGGTGTTATTTTTGATCTCATACTACTAGCAATCTAATTCAGTAGCAAAATTCAATTTAATTATTTTTCATTTTTATTTATGATAAAATGCAGGAAATTATCCAGACATCAATTATAAAACGAAATTTCGTTGGATGAACTGCATACAGGCTGTCTTTTGTAGTGACTTTCTTCTTCAACACCCCAGTGATCGTGTACATGCGTTTGAGGGAAATATTGCTTACATGGGGAAATGAAAATTGCCTCCACAAAGGTTCTTTCCCTCCACCAATTCAACGTTTGCATAGTGTCATAATGTGGTCTGTCATGTTAGGGTTGTACACGAATACAACACGAATCAGGTTTTTTTTTTCCTCAACCTCGCCAGTAAACTTAAATTCCTCGCATCCCTACATTTTTTTATTGCTCTGAGGTTGTGTAATTTGGATGGTCGGTGTAGCTCCACCCCGATGCATTGCAGAGCCAGCGATATTGTGCAAAACATGTTCGACACAAGGAAGAAGGGGTGAAGGTGAGAACGTGGAAAATCACGATAAAATTTCTCTCTCTCTCTGCCTCTCTCCTTCTCCTTCCCCTACCGCTTCTACGAACACCTATGGAAATGCCGACAATGGATCGTAAGTTACTAAGGAAGTAATCAAATTCGCCTAACTGCTTTACTCTACAGGGAAAGAAGAAAAAAATTAGCAATTGATTACCATTCATACCTACAAATACCTGACATAAAGCTGCTCTCCTCTCTCAAATATTTAACATGATATAAAAACAAAATTGCTTGCTTCCATTCCCTTGTTTGTGGTTTATTCTCCACCAAAAAGAAGTGAATTTCTTTCTCCTCCCTTCCTCCTATCACCCTTTAAGCCTAAGCACTTTGCCATGGGTGTTAGGTGGAGGGAGAGGCCGGGGGGAGGAGGCGGAGGGGAAGGTGGAGGCGGAGGAGGAGGAGGCGGGAAGCGAAGTAAGGGGGACCGTCTGACCTTTTAACTTTACAATGGGAAAAGATCACGACAGCCAACTTCTCTCCCCCCCTGTCGGCAGATTGCATAGGAATTTAAATGTAGAAAGCTAATCAATTTCCCCCTCCCACTTTTTTTTCTTTTTTCCGTAAGACTTTTTTTTAAGAAGTGGATTTGTTATTAATGGCTTCATTATGTGCATTTAAAGTAAAAATCTAAAGCATTATTAG